ATTTTGACTCTTAAAATGAAAACATGTGATTTACGATAAATACGTTTTATTGTTAGTTGTTACTATATTTATGAATATAGTTGTAAATTATTTAAAAGTACTAGAAATTAAAGATTTTAAAATACCTATATATATTATTTTATTACATATATTTTAGCATCTTAGTATATCTTAGCATAAAAATTGCTAAGCGTTGGTCGTACTATACACAGATTCCAGGTTTTCGATCCAACAAAAACTGACTCGTTACCGTGTTATACCTGGTGGTGAACGGGTTCACCATGCATGCTCACCCCGTTTTATCTTTAATGGTGAATTTGATTTTTCGAATTTTTAAGTATACTATTAAGGACCATTATTTCAATTATATAGGTTTTTTCTAAAAAGAAAATTGATGTTGTATCACCCTGTATACATATAAATAATATACTCTACACTTATACTGCACTGCTGTTGTAACCTGCAGCAGCGACCACATCAAGTAGACGTGCAATGTGTCGTTTTTCGACTGCACGCCGTATATCACGCCTCGCATGTGCAGCCGATCGTAAATAACATCTGAACACTCGGAACAATGCACCGCTGGTCCACTGCAGCAACCGGTAACAGCTAAGTAACAGCTCAGAGTGTTCGAATACTAATAGTAATAATAATAATAATACCATCGACCATAATAGTTGCAGCGGAAAAGTAAAAAACATAAATAATAAAAGATTAGGGGCGCACGAGAGGAGATGAAAAAAAAGAAAAACTAAATTTTCAAAAGATCGCTGGACGGTGGCGACTACGCAGACGATCGGCTCTCCCCCCCCCCCCTCGGACTTTATTTATAATATTGTAATAATATTATATTATATTATTATACGCGCGCGAGGTACAAAACTATGTCCGAACGAGCGCATATAGTATAATAACATTATACATTATTATGCGGTTCGGCCGGGCTAAATTTGCATTTGCATTACCATAAGGAACCAGTTCTGATAAGAAGTATATACCTACATATACCTGTGTATGCATCTGTATACACCTCGGCCAGAGGGCACGACCATAAAACATGTGTTGCCATTGTTTTTGCCCGTTAGTATTTTTTATCTGACGAGGACGAAAAAATATCGTTTAATGCGTATAAAATATACTCTGCCGTACGTATACACCTTACCTATATGGACCTTTTTTTCATCATCCAACCGGGAAAGGTCAGATACGCGTGATACGCGCAAACGGAGAAAGCACTATATATATAATGTGTGTGTGTGTGTGTGTGTGTGTGTGTGTGTGTGTACTGTGTTGTGCATATTATATTTTATACCTCGGTATAGGTCCCGGTGCAGGTGGTCGTGAGACACGGCGAAAAAGGATGCACATCTCTAGGTAGATAGGCTGTACAGAGGTAGGTAAGTACTCGCAATAATGGGCAGACCTGACGCGAGCGATGTAACGGCGATTTTGTATATATACTTGACAGCATAATGCTCGTCGCGCGATTCGAAACAGCTCTCCTCGAGTCTATAATATCTTCTATCCTATAGCCGATGGGACTTATGTCGACGGTGGAAACGTTCCCGTTTAACTTGCACACGAATATCATATTGTTTGTAGATGGTAGATCCACACTCACACAAACACAATATATAATATAACTAATATAAGTACATATATAGTAAGTATACGTATGGATACCGCCAGATTAATCATAAACCCATAACAGACAATATATGTAGTCAATATTCAAAATTATTCTAGTTGATTTAATATTCACCTATTCCGTTTTGGAAAAATAATAGTATATTTAATTTTTTCATAGAATGTTTTCATGAATAATCATTACTATATTATAATGATCCGGCTATTCCGAAGTTAGTGTAGAAAATACGAAATTGGTTTGAAACTTAAAATGAAAAAAGAAAATCCTCAACGATGATATTAGACTATAAGAGTTGATTTCTAAAGACATTCAAAAAGGGCCGATAATGATAATTTAGGTAAATGTCATGACTTATTATAATCAATTTGAATGATAATGATGCAGAGAGATTATTATTTCTGAATTTAAGTTATAGCTATTACTGCAGTTAATAGAACAATACAAGTACTTACACTTTCTACGGAATAATTCATGATCCTGATATTCCAGGTATTTGTAAAATATAACGATAATAATTATTAGTATATTTATTATAATTGTACTAACTAATTACATTATGCATATTATTTTGCATGTAAATAATACATTTTAAATTTAATGTTAATCACTTGTTATGTCTCAATTTGTTCACCTGTCTATAACATTTTAATGGTTGTTGTTGGATTCCGGTTATTCAATTATTCGATACGTCAAACTATCCTTCAAGTTATAATTTTGTTATAATATGTTTAAATATAATTAGAACTAACTATTAAAGTACCTTTTTTATACGATTTCTTACGTATCACAAATCACAATAAAAAAAACACTTGTAGTAAAAAAACATTGTAAACTTTATATAGCGTAATAAACGATGATGCTATTAATAATAAAACGATTAATATTAATAGGTGATCCATACAGCTTACAAGTGTAATTTAATGTTTTAGAAATATTTGAGAAATAATATGCATAAATGTGATTAACGGTTAAATTATTGACAGTATTCAGATATAAGATTATTTTCGTCGTGAGGGAGATTCAGATTATACTACAGACAATAAGACGTTTACTACAAAAACTAATAGATAATGAATACAATATTGTCAAAGTTCCCGAAAATAGTTTATATATAACGTTCAAGCTAAATATTACTTAAATAATCGGAATGTTTTCTGTTATTTCTCGCAAATCCCACAAGTCATTATTTTTGTTTTTCTTCGTTTTGAAAATGATATATTTTTATTTCGTGCCTTTCTGTATTATAATAATAATACATTATACCAGATACATCTACGCCGTAATAAATATATTATATACATTTCTCGAGTTTTTATTTCTTTTATTTTTTACACCATATACTTTTCTATTCAATATAATCACTTTAACGCTCAAATGTTTTCTGCTTCGCATATTATATTAAGTATTACTATATTATGTTCAGACCTCATAATACATCTGTGCAGAATTTCCCACAGCAAAGCGTATAATTCCTTATTGTTTACATTTTTTCGAAACTGAAGACACGGTAATAGGCACATCGGACTTAATACACTTCGCGCGCGCGTGTATATATATTTATGAGATATCGTACACAATTACGCGTTTCTCCTGCAGGTTCTGTCAATCGTATAAATCGCATCGATTACCAGAGACGTCCATTTCAATGCCTATATAGACGGTATAATATTATACCTAGGCGCACACCGCCATACATATATTTTAGTATGCCACGACGACAATGCCTGTAGAGCGCTTCACGTTTTTTTTTTTTTTTAGAAACGGAACCGTCAGAATACAATAATTCACCCGCTATAAGAATATCGCTGTGTAGAGTAAAGACTTAAAGAGTGGAGCTAATGCAGAGCAATATCGCGTTCGTATTGCATACTATACAGATAGAGTAGGTATAAAGATAGCTATAAAGTATTATATACGAACATAGCATAGGCGGGATCAGACATATTTGTGGCAGGTCGGGCTGTACGCCTGTACACACGCACGCACACTGCACATACAAACATATGTATATTTGATATTTAATATTATGTACATTGTAATGTAATAATATTATATAACTGTCCACCCACGCCCGTAACACCTCATCCCGTTCTAATCTAAAAGACAACACTGTACAAAACCTTTGAGTACCTATATATATTTGCTAACACAGGTGCACGGATGAAAATAGCTGTAATAAATATGTGACTATTTACTATTTACCTATATTAACCGATGTATACTTACATATATAAAGAGTAAAGACAATAATCGTTTCGATGATAATACACAATATTATAAACATGTGTCATGTATCAAATAATTCTTTTGTTCCCATCCCAGTATCGGATACTGGGATACTGAGTATACCCCTATTCGAACAAAAAGTATATGCTTCGAGCCACCCCCACGAACTATATACCCACACAATATTACTACGAACTTTGCGTCGTCATTGATTTTAAGTAGGTACACATACTGTAGACCAAGGGTCTCCAACCTACTGTCCGAGGACTGGTTACAGCCGATCAAGCTTTTTGAACCTCAATCAAGCTGACTGATGTTTTTTGATATTCAACTCCAAGATTCTTTAGCCATACAAAAATTTTGCTCTAGAGTCTAGACCGACGGGAAATGAGGGATGATTACTGCGGCTCTCAGATCGGATTGGAGTAAGACTCCACACTACATTATTATTATTATTATTATTATTATTATTATAAGCACAGTGGCGATGACGCTTTCATATAAAAATAATATATAAATCATATAATTTAAACGGCAGTCGACGCGATAACGAGCTTATATGACACGAGACAATACCAGATAATAAACTATATATATATACCTATATATGGCCTATACGGTTATATATTACAAAACACAGGGCCGGCTCAATGTGGTAGCAAAATAGGCAGCCGCCTAGGGCGGCACTAGTGTGGGGGCGGCAAATTTCAAATGAACCAAAGTGATTTAATTATTATAAATTATAATATAATATAGTCTGCTGAATTGTATGTTCATTACTCAAATATACAAAAAAAGTTTACCGAGAACGCACTAAAGTCGTAATACTGCATGAATATAAATAGAACGGCGATAACAATACATGCATTAGTCGACCACAGACGAATGCACGTTCTTATCGAGTTTAAAATTATTATTTAATTGGAAAATAATTGTCAATGACACAACGGCATTTAGTCCCGGACTTTCAGCCGCCCGCCGAACACGTAAATAATTTTTGCCGTAGAGGGATAGTGATAGTAGACCAAGTGCGTGAACGTGTACAATTTTTATTAAAATAAATTTATAACTGCAACACTTAATTGGTATTAATTTTGTTAAATTATCACGTTAATATTTATTGAATATGTCAGAGCAAAAACGTATACGGTTATCAGGAGCTGCATATCGAAAACAAAAATTAAAACGTGATGAAGAAATTAAAAAAAACTCTGGTTCCTTTGAAAAATATTTGAAAAAAAATAATGAAGTTTTAAATAATCCAGAAACACATTCTAAAATAAAAATAATTAAAAACTATTTGAGGTCTTCTATGAATCAAGAAAGGTTAAGTGATCTTGCTACAATTTCTATTGAAAAAGAAGTAATGGAAAATCTGGAGTTCAAAAATGTACTGATTGATTTTGCCCAAGAAAAGGCTCGCAAAATTAATTTTATTTAATATATTTTTTTTTTTGTTATATATTTTTTAATGTTAAATTAAATACATATTTTTTATCTATGATAACGATAATGAATGTATAACAATGGTCAAAAATATTACTTGTTCTATTTTATACCCAACATTTATTTTAATTTTATTATTATTATTTTATATTTTGTAAAGAAAACTTAGGTCAGTCAAAACATTTTATTTTTTTTTAATTAAACAAGGGTTCATAGATAAAAATGAATGTCCTTATTTTATCAATACACTCCTCTCCAAAAAAATAACTATTGCATAGGGCAGCTTAAATCAGATTTGCCTAGGGCGGCAAAAAACCTACGGCCGGCCCTGACAAAACATAAACATAGGCTACTTTCAGGTGTGCGGAGTGCGGGGAGCCAGAGCACAGAGTTTACCGTGGACAGCCGCACTTATTATAGGCGTAGCATTTTTAAAAGAAAAAATCTCGACGCAAATAGTGACCGTTTTGCGCTCGTGTTTCGCAAAGTCGATGCGAACCCGATAGGAGGCACATTTCTCGCGCACGGTAGTCTTCTGCAGCTGTATATTACCGCCGACCGGGTCAACGGACTGGTAAGTTATAAAGGTATAAGTACGTGTGTGTGTGTGTGTGTGTGTGTGTGTGTGTGTGTGTGTGATGCTGACTGAGCGTAACCTGGGCCCGGGTGTAAATAATTAAGAGCGCTCACCCGGATCCGTGTATTATATATATATATATATATTATATACTATATAATATTATATGGGTATATATTATAGATTTATATATATAATACATTATTCGAGCACAATATCTGTGGAATCCAAAATTTGCATAAAACATCAAACACGAGGAAGACGTTTTACCCGCGATTTTAAAAATTCAAATATCCCTCCCCCCCGACACTCCACGATAGCTGTTTCCCCATTGCAGCACGTCTGTTTATTTAAAACCAAACGACGCGAGCGATATAATTTATAATATTATCATGTATATATTATTTAGAAAGACCGCGACAGCGCCTCGGCGGACACGATCTTTACCGTTAACCGCGGGACATGCGCGCGAGAGACACGTCCATATATTATTATTGTATTATTGTTATATATATGTATATACATAAACATATTGTTTGGGTAACGTTTAAGCAGACCACGTTTTATCCAAAAGGTACCTAATTGAAATGTTCTTTCTTCGCATAGTTTACAACGCACTAACAACGAGATGCAGAGAATTGGCTCCAAGTAAACGTCATAAATGAACATATATAATACAACACATACTATATACAGTAGATACACAATGCACAACGTAGATCACTAAAGTATCACATAGTGTTAGCAAACGAAATAATTCACATCAAAGTTGATAATATATTAATATAATAAGGCTACAACCTACTCAGTTTTTTAATCATACCTATACGTTGACCGCATAAGTCATGAATGCTTTAATTTAAGAAAATAATATTTACAACTCGTTAATCAATAATAATACAAACCGCCTATATAATAATATTATATACACCATACACGTATCTATATAATGTGTAGTTATATATTTATAGCAATAATAACCTGACCAGAATAGTAATTAAAATGCTTTAGTTGATAAATAAAGAGGTAGCTGGTATGTAAACCAGCTATAACATGCACCTATATATTATTATTACCTATTCATTATTCAAACGTTCGCCAGGTTTCGTTGTTTTATTTATTTGAAACACTTCAAATTTGACACATGGGGGTCAAATTGAATAAGCTGTTGTAGTACTGTAGTTAGTAATCATCTTTCAGATTTTAAACTATTCAATTGCATCTAATGGCATATTATATATACCTATGTATATAATATATAGTTATTCATTTATATTTTATTAAGACTGTATAATATATTTTAATCAGATTTAAAACTCCTGTGACATAAATTACGAGAAATAATTACAAACATGTATTAATAGTATATATAGTTAGAAATAAATAAATTAATAAAATTAATACACCCCAATTCGAATAAAATATAAGATTCAAGAAGATAAAAGTGCACGTTGTTAAATAAAATAAAATTATATAATTTTTTTTTTCTTTTTAGAACTAATTTATTTAAAAACGTGAAGTGAAACCTCTTTTTTACTTCCTAATATAAATAAATACACGACGACTTAGATTGTATGGAAATACGCATAAGGGAAACGAACGATCTTTACCGTTAGCACGTGACCATTCTGTTACATATGCCACATCAGGATCAAAGATCCACGGTTATGTTGATATTAGTACCTATATGCGTCTATAATATTCAGTGGTGTATTGGAGGGTATACGCGGGTATACGGCGTATACCCGGATCCATATTTTTGGATTTATGCGTATACCTTTAAGAAAATTATTCTTTTATGGGTATACGCACGCTTCTAATTTATCATCAGACAATTTAGGCATATTATCACCAAACAAAAGTAAAAACTTAAAAATAATAATAATAATAACCTAAATTATATTTAGTTATAATATTTTATTATAACATAAAGTGCACTGTCCAAAAATACTAAAAATAGCCCCGTACCCGCATGAAGTTCGATTAAATTTTACCCGACGTTTTCTTGCGAAGACGATCGGAAACTGCCGAGCAATACAATCAATCAATGAACAATCAATGTACAGCGGTTCCCAAACTGTGAATAAACATACGTAATTTCATTTCAAACTAAATGATAATGACAAATTAGAATAATAATAAAATAATTATTGTTGATGTATTGTGTTATTACTTGTCATCCAATAACCAAATTATAAAATCGAACTATTAGTTTCTCATTATATTAATTCTATTAATTTTGAAATTCTTTTAAATTTGTAAAATATTTTATTTTTATACAAATAAAGTATATATAAATATTTGTATATAAATATATTATAATATTATATGATCGATAATGGATAATAAACGTACCGCTACTTCTACTATATAAGTATTTTACTGTACAATTGTTTTAAAATTTGATAATAAAAAGTTGTATTATTTATGATATATATCATATATGAATTGGGAACAAGTCTAGTTTACCGGGCACATATTTTTTTTTAAATTTTTTTTTTGAAAAGGATTGTTTTGACGAGTTAAGAACGATGGTGCAAAAATAAAATTGCGGAAATGATTATTTTGGAAGTTATAGCTTCCCAAAGTTAACGATTTTACGTTTACACGCGTGCGCGCAACACTACTATAATGCCGCCCGGAGGACCTCGAGTTTGGCGACCGTTTGGCAACCCTTTTAAAAAAAAAATTTCAAAAAAAAAAGGTGCCCGGTAAACTAGACTTATACCATGAAATTGAATTAATTAAAAAAAAATAATACATTGATACTTGGTACATATTACACACAGTGGAGTATATATGAATTAATTTTATGGTTGTGGGTGAATATAGGGCGAACTGGGGGGCGTATATAGGGGGGTATATACGCCACTGCATATACATATACACATGAAGAGTAAGTGTTTGTAATAAAGTTATAAAAGATTATTAAATACAAAGTGTAATCATTTTTTGAGCGGAGCGAGAAAATTTTTAAGGTAGGTATATCGTATATATAGGTATATACTATATTCAACTACTTTTAGGTGCGTATACCCATAAATTTATTTACCAATACACCACTGATAATATTATTATTATATATGTATCATAATAATTAATAATCATACTATATGCTAAACCAGTAAGTAATTTAAGTCAGTGAGTTGTGTGTATTTGAATATTATATTATGTAACAAAATTACCATTTGTCATACTCTTATAGGTATACATTAACTATATAGATAAAAGCCACTTTAATATGGGCCTTTAAAAATCCATTCCACTGATATATAACTATACAATGTTGATTATATAATGTACCTCCTATGTACGTTATAAAATAAAGAGCAAAAAGAAGCTATCGTCGAGAATCGTTGCAAAAAAAGGGCTTCTTTTGATTTTAAAGTTTTTACAAAATTAAAGATAGGTACACATCAAATAATAATTTGACGGTTTTTTTGTGATATGTCTATGCGCTTATATAGGTAAGTACTCGTTTTGATTCGCCTCTACCGAACAATAATTGTGTAGAACTGGGTGACTCGGTCATTATGGTAATTTGTTAACCGTTACTTCCAGGGGATGTATATATGGTTAATATAGTTAATAATCAAAAGTAGTGTTTTTTTGCCCTATAAGTAAACATTCGAGTCCGTTTGAGGTCGTGATCGAAAAACTCGTTCGAAATAAATGGAATTATTTTATTTGTCGAATCCAAATTTAATTTCGCCGACAACAATCGTTTACAACACCGACGCCTTTTAAGTGCATACTGCATACATCAAACAAACGGAAAGAAAAAAATAATAACCGAAAACCGGCTGCCGACAAGGACCAGTTTTAGGCACGTTCAAGCCATAACTGCACATTCGTTATTATATAAAATACACACAGGGTACCAATACTTAGGTACTAAAAATCTGCTGTTTAAATTCTATGTGGCAGGTTATGATAACTGATCAAAAATCTCGGTTTTTGGTTTTTTTTTAAACATAACTGTACTAACTATATGTAAAATAAATTGAAATGTGTACGATTAATTATATAAAACAAAAATAAAAACAATTGTAACAAATTAAAATATACTATTTATCTAATGAATAATAATATAACTATATGAAACAAACGTACCAAGTGTTTTGAAAGTTATATACGTCTAGAACGAAAAACTACGAAAAAACTTATTTAAAAAAAAATATTTTATAGTTATGTGTACACCCAAACTTATATCTACATGCTTAGATCAATCAATAATAATCCATTTATGTACCTCGTAATGGAAAATGAAGGTATACTAAGCTAAAATATTTTTGTTGTTCTTTTATCAGAGTAATTTGTCGAATTTCCAACACATACCTGACCAATATAGTGTGTTCTACAGGTAACATAACTATATAATAATATATTATGTAGGGTGCGTACTCGAGTGTGATGGC